CTGCAGAACCTCTGCTGCCACACCGCTGCCCCCGAGGGAGTTGGCAGATGTGCATTTCAGGGGGCTGGAGGGTGAAACTCCAGGTTAGGATCAATCCACTGTCACAGAGGAGAAACATTCACAGGCAAAGCAGGGGCCTCCTCACCATTAATTTCTGCCTGCATTCTCACTCTGTGTCACCCGGCGCACCGGGAAGCTTTCGCTTGCATGAACTGGTTTCGAGGCGGTTGGGTGGGGGAACTCGAGCAGCACAGGAAATCACTCTTCTTACCACACTCACTACGGAGGGGAATTCCATCGGACCGGTCTCTCTGACGCAGAGAAATCTCAGTTTGACTCAGGTCAGGAGCCAGCGTCCCGGCCAATTTCCAAGAAAGGAAGACTAGGCAGGACAGCTAGGAGGGAGGTGACGGCGATGTGTATGGGCGGTGGGCAAGGATGGCTTTTGACTCCAGCATGGTAACACTTTACCCAGGTAGCTGGCATGACACACTGTTCTCTCCTCGACAAGGGCAGTTCAGACCACTTCTTTCCATCGAAAGGGAGTCAGTGAATTCATCACATCTATTTCACTGAAGAAGCACTTATGTCTCCCTCCTCTCCTGGGAAATGTACTGTGAAGACCCCAAGGCATTAAACACCCCATTCCAGTAGCCTCCATAGATCAAATCCAGAGGCCAGGGGATAATCTGAGCCCATTAACTTGTCATCCAGCCGCATATAAATTGGGGAGAGTTTCATCCTGTACATGTTCTTATCAGCCAGGGATTTCATGTGTTCTCCTAATAGCTGAGGCAGTGACATACTGAACAGGAGAGATCGAATTATCCCTGGTCTGGGTTCCTAGGCAGCATTTGCAGGAGGAAAGTGAGGCTGCTTAATAACCCTTACACTTTGTATGCTAATGAACTAGTGTTGCAAAAATGGAGTTAAATATTAACCCACAATTAACCCTGCCCTCAGCTGCTCTTCAAATACCCAAAACCACAGCCACAAATATAAATACATTTCTGCTTTGCCAGCAAGGGCTGGGTTTTAATCATTTAGGTGAATACTGCCTGCCCAAAATGTGTGCCTAATTGGAAACTGCGCTTGACACTTTTGCATGCAAACTAGGAAATTGCATACGCAAATACATCTGCTTAGTTATGTGTGTGTAGCTACCTGATCCAGGTGTGCAGCTGCATATGTACCTCTGTGTCTTCACTGGCTGAAAATCAGCACCTGAAACTCTCTAACTGGCCAAGTGAAGCAAGTTCTACACTCATCTCAGCAGCATTTCTGCATCTGTAACATGAGAACTTCTGACAACTGCGTCTGATCAATTCCAAAATTCCAGGGTAAGTTCTAGGCATTCCTGGGCAGAACCCTATTGATTTTAGCAACAATCGGAACACCAGAGGAAATGGTGGACACGCTGCACCCTTTGCTTCAGGTTAGCACACCCATCAGCTTCCAATAGGTCTGTTAATTGACGGTAGAGCAAAGTACTAGGTGATGGTAGCCATTCGCACCTTCTAGCACGATGCCCCCCATCTCTAGTTATACTCTAGTTCAAACCAAAATTAATTCAGGGAAGTCCAGTGTTGCCAACTCTCATGATTCTGTCATGAGTCTCATGATAATTATTGTTTTCCTTAAAGCCCCAGCTCCGGGAGTCAAGTGGATCTGGGATGACATCAGCCTTCATTCTTAAAGGAAAAGTACGTTTCTAGCCCTCGTGGCTGTGGAGAAAGCTCCAAAATGTGACCCCAGTGCACCCTACAGGCTCAAAAACAGAAGGCAAATGATCCCCACATCTGTTATTTTTACAGAATCTCATGATTTTTGGTGAGCCTGAATCCTGATTTTTGAACATGTGGGGCTGGCTATCCTGGCTGTCCTATGGCCTATGTTGTACAGAAGGTCAGACTAGATGATCAGAGTGATCCCTTTGGGCCTTATAATTTATGCATTTCAGCTCTGCCCATCATCCCAATGGGGTTTAACATGTTGACACCCTGAGTGACTCCTCTCCCAGCCAGAAAGAAAATAAATAATAATGGGGAACACGCAGTGGCTTGCCTGAGAGGAGAGAATGTGGGACCCTGTGTGATGAAGTGGGACTGTTCTTAATGTTTCCTCTGAATACTGTCTGGGTGCCTCAGTTTCCCCTATGCATTTCTTAAGTCTCCAGTGTGCATAAATGGCTGACCATCTGTCTCCTAGCAACAAATGGCTGGGGCCCTTCTCCCCTGCAAGGGGATAGTTAAAGGTGAACAAAGAGATCAGGTGACCTCCTGGCCCGGGAAAGAGACAAAGGCCAGAAAGGAGGGGCTGGAGTGGGTTTCAGTTTGGAGCTGGCTGGGGACTAGGAGTGAGGGCAGACGGGTTGTCTGGCTTGCTGGGCCCTAGAATGGACCCAACTGAGGGGTCCTGTTCTCTGGACCTACAAGCTCTGTTTTAGACCGTGTTCCTGTCATCTAATAAACCTCTGTTTTACTGGCTGGCTGAGAGTCACGTCTGACTGCGAAGTGGGGGTGCAGGACCCTCTGGCTTCCCCAGGACCCAACCTGGGCGGACTCGCTGTGGGAAGCGCATGGAGGGGCATATGCTGAATGCTCCAAGGTCAGACCCAGGAGGTGAAGCCGTGTGAGCTTCTTGCCCTGAAGACAGTCTGCTCCAAGGGAGAGGAGGCTCCCCAAAGTCCTGACTGGCTTTGTGGGGAGCAGTTCCAGAGCATCGCCCGGGGACTCCGTGACACCCTGGCATGAGGAACATACCACCACAGGCAGAGGGAATCTCTCTGTGTCCAAGTTATGAATTCTGGTTCAGGCTATGAAATTGCTGTAACATCGGATGCCTCCGTGCAAGTGGAATCCTCCATGTGGTGTCAGGGTTGTGCCACACTATCTCCCAGTCCAGGGACAATGGAGGCTCATTATCGTTACAGCTGGATCGCTCCCAGTCCAGTGGGAGCACCTCAGAACAATGGGATGGCTGAAGTCGGAGAAACCAGCCCATGTCTATCTGTGGGGCTGGAGTTTGAGGCCATGGAATTTTCCCAAAAAGGGAAACCAAGAAACCAGGGAACCAAGAAACCACAACCATTAAAAAACCCAGAGGCTGAGGAATTGAAAAGGGGAACTCAGAGGAACCCGCAGAGCCATGGGACGCTTGGATTAGTGGGTAGGACGGAGGCCCAGAGGGGTCCCCTTAGCTGCATGACCTGCTATGGAAGAAGGAAACGCTCCGCACACAGCGGGAGATAGTGAGTGACTCGGAGGAGCTGTGGTGTGCAGGAGGGGCGAGGGGCTGTTTTAGGAACCCATGTGGCTGTCGGGTTTCACTAGAGCATGTCCCGGAAGAGGTGAACTGTAAACCCCGCGTACCTACATGGCTAGAGCCTTGGGCTTAAACGACTGGGCAGTCAGCACAGGGCCGGGGGCAGCTGGGCTGCGGGTCCCATTTCTGTGAAGGGGGGACAGATGGAGGCTGCAGCCTACTCAGCCCAAGGGACATGTAAGAGCAGACGCCGGGCCCAGTGCGGTGGGACCTGAACACAGTAGGTGGGGATTGTCCAGCAAAGGGAGGGCTGGATGACAGGGGCATGTCTGGTTTTCAGAATGTCACCGCCTCCGGCAGGCTCTGAGCTGTTATCCAGCCTCTGCCTAGCATAAGAACAGGGCTCCTGAACACGGGGCAGTGTGGGCAACGCAGGGCCTTTGCCTAGCGCAGGCGGTCGAACTATGGCTATGTCTGCAATACGAGCATGGGGCGTGATTTCCCCTGCTCGCACTAACGCTCCTGGAGCTAGTGTGAGTACAAACAGCAGTGTAGAGGGACTGCTCAGCCACGCCTCCACTCTCGCTCCCTGGGCTCTCCTGGCTGCAGTGCCCAGCACTAGCGTGTGAACACAGGCAGGGGAATCACGCTCGTAGCTCACACTGTGGGCACAGCCAATGGCATCGCCTGGAGGAAAATGCTTAGCACTGAATCACAGAAACCCAGCATACTTATCAGAGCAGTTCAAGATGACTGGTATTCAATTCGTCTGCTGTAACGCCGAGGGAGGATGAAGGCACTAGTGTGCCCGGTGCTGCACAGATGTGTAGGAAGATAGAGCCCATGTCCTGAGGAGCCTGCGGGCTAGGAATCCAATCAGATTCAGTTGTCCTGCCAAAGAGCTCCGTGCACAGGAATCTGATGTTCTGTCGTCTGATTTTATTGGGTAATGTAGAGGCAGGAATACGGTGCCCAAAGGTGCAGGTTTGTTGGGTATTTAACTCCGGTGTGGCAGGGATAAAGTCAACGTCCTTTTGCTTTCCAGGTGCCTGGGGCGCTTGCCAGGTGTGTCCAATTGCTTGGGCAGTCTGCACTCGGGGACACAGCTGTATGAATTCTTTATTCCACTCTATTTTAGAATTGCACTTTCACACGTGGGCCTCCAAGCTCTCGTCACCCAGGACTGAGATGGTGGGACATTGCTGCCATGGGAGATGCAGTACTAGAGGTCAGGACAGAGGGTGAAGGGGGACACTCCTAAATAGAGTTGTTTTTACGTTAATTTATTAACTTTAATGTCCAAAACAGCTGGAATGATGTCAGGCTCTGATCCCGAGCTCTGTGCAGACAGAGCCCCGTGCCTGCATTGTCTCCTCTGATGTCCATGGAGCTTTCTGCAGATGCAGAGGTTCTCGTGGGTGAAGCTCCCTGCGGGACTGGGGCCGTGGGCTGTGTAAGCTCTTCAAGGCAGAGATTTTGTCTCTTTATTTGCTCTGCAAAGCACCTGGTGCACATTAGGCACAGTGTACATAAATTAGCAGTAGGCATTAATAATGAATGTCCTAGTCCACTCTCTGCAGTCGCGCGCGCGGGGGCGTCGGTGGCAGGGATGTTACATATTCCCAAAGGCTCTTTCTGGCTCCAGAGAGCCTTGCTCACTCCCAGCCTTCCCCAACCAGCACACCCCCTTTTTCAGATCCAACTCTGCCCTGGGCTGAAATGTACAGAAAACTCTGCACTGACGAGAAGTTTATTAAGAAATAAGTATGTAAAAAGTCTTCAAACAAAATGGCTTAATATTCAGCTCTAGCAATACCTGGCCCAGTGTTAAATATTATTTGCCCCCTGTGGGAGACCACACCAGGATCAGGGGAAATGTAGTGCAACCCTGTTAACACACCATTCACTGTTGCCTACAGTTGGACCTTTGCCTGCATGAGAGCTGTCTCCTGGCTGGTGTACTGGGTCTAATGGAAAACACACACACACTTCTTATACAATCCCCCGGACAGTGGAAACCACTTGCTGATGAAAAAGTCTCATCTATAAAGGGACATCCCCCCAAGCTTTATTTTATTTTTATGGGTTCAGTGCAGCATTTATTGAAGTATTACAATTTGCTGCCAAAGTCCATCCCCGGCTGCTACTTTCCAACCCAGGCTCTTGGCAGCAGGAAAATCCCCTCCTGCACAGCTGATCTGTAGCACTCAGTAAGCCGGGGCTCAAGGCCCTTCTGTTCACTACTGATGATAGTCAGCACATCTAACCCTCCCAGTGCCCTTTGTATATTTACTAACCAACCCTCACAGCAGCCTGGGAAATAGAAACGTAAGCATTAACCCCCCCACACTTTAGATGGGGAAACTGAGGCAGGTGTTAGGTGACTTTCCCAAGGCCACAGAGGAAGACTACAGAGCTTGGATGGGAACCCAGGAGTTTCTGGCTCCCAGGCCTGTGCTTGTGCCACTGGACCATACCTCTCCCCTGACATACAATAGCAGGGATGTCCCTTTCCAGCCCTTGGCGTTTGCCAGTCTGATATGTTAGGCTATGCACTTTCCCAGAATGCCTCGCGTCCCTCCTCTCTGTGCCTCAGCTGGACTCACTTCAAACAGGTGGGGATGCAGGAGAACGTCTGCTTCACTCGCAGCAGAAAGGGGACTGTGTTCTTGATGTCTCTGCTCCTTGGCACCAGTCCCTGCAGGGGTCCATCTGTGCCTTCTCTGTCTGCTGGAAGCAGGAGCCTTATCTCCTCCTCGTCATTGAAAGTGTCGGCTCCATATCTCTGCTCCAAGTGTCTGTGAATCTGCAGGTGCAAGGAGAACATAAGAACGGCCATGCTGGGTCAGACCAATGGTCCATCTAGCCTAGTATCCTGTTTCCCAACAGTGGCCAATGCCAGGTGCTTCAGAGGTTTGTGATGGCCCTATTCAGCTATGTCACAAGGTGCAGAATTCCTGAGGCTAAACATGTGCTGTAATATACTGTGGCCTGTTCTCCTCTCATGGGGCTCCCAGACCTCTCTCCCGTCTCTCTCTTGCACTGAGCTACATGTTATGGGCCAGCTCCTCATCTGCTATACATCTGGGTAGCTCAATGGAAGCCAATAGTGATACTGATTTGCACCACCTGAGGAACTGGCCCCCTGTAAAGGGAAATGTATTGGCTCAGTATTTAGATGGAAAACCTCCAGGATATATTGAGGTGTAACAGGTGTTGATGGTTCTGTAGGTGGTGCTTTTCCTTTGCCGTCAGGAGCAAACCAATAACCCAGCTTGGGCTGCTGCAGGTGCCATATTTCAAATGGACAGAAATCCAAGGTCCTGGGAATTGGTGATCCTGCAACGTTTGATGCAAGGGAGGCCGAGAGGCAATATGCACGTTCCTGGAGGAGGGGGAGAGTGTACCGCTCCACAGAATTGATTAGGATTCGGTCTCTCCTGCTTTGCTTTCTCTTTTCCTACCTACCCTCTCCAAGATGCTGGTGATGTGGTAGCTCCATGTGTCCCTGCTGGCCCCACCTCTGCCTCAATCAGTCCAAGTATTGGGCCTCCTTGATCTTCCTGCCTCCCTCAGAGAGCAGGGAGCTGAGTGCCACTCAGGGGAGTGCCCAGATGTTGATAGGTTCCCAGATAGCAAGGCCAAAAGGGACCATTCTGGTCATCTTGTCTGACCTTCTACATGAAACGTCCCCAAAATCATTCCCAGAGCAGATCTTTTAGAAAAACATCTAGTCATGCTTTTAAAATGGTCAGAGATGGAAAATCCACCACGAGCCTTGGTAAATTTTTCCAATGGCTAATTACCCTCACTGTCAAAAATCTACACCTTATTTCCAATGTGAATGTGTCTAGCTTCCACTTCCAGCCAGTGCATCGTGTTAGACCTTTCTCTGCTAGACTGACGAGAGCATTATTAAATATTTGTTACCCATGTAGGTACTTGTAGACTGTAGTCAAGCCACCCCTTACGCTTTCTTAAGCTGAATAGACTGAGCTCCTTCAATCTATCTCTCTAAGCTGTGTTTTCTAATCCTTGAAACATTTTCATGGCTCTTCTCTGAACTGCCTCCAATTTGTCAACAGCCTTCTTGAATTGTGGGCACCAGAACTGGACACAGGATTCCCGCAGCAGTTACACCCGTGCCAAATACAGAGGTAAAATATCCCCTCTGCTCCTGCTCAAGATTCCCCTGTTTATGCATCCCAGATTCGCTCTTTTGACCACAGTGGCACCTTGGGAGCTCATGTTCAGTTGATTATCCACCATCAGAGTCACTACTTCCCAGGCTAGAGTCCTCCATCCTGGCAGCGTGGCCGTGTTCCTTGTTCCGAGATGAATACATATCCATTTGGCCATATTAAAATGCATATTGTTTGCTTGCACCCAGTGTACCAAGTGATCCAGATTGCCCTGAATCAGTGACCTGTTCTTCTCCGTTATTATCACTCCCCCAATTTTTGTGTCATCTGCAAACTTTATCAGTGATGATT